AAAAAAAAAAAAAAAAAAAAAAAAAAAAAAAAAAAAAAAAAAAAAAAAAAAAAAAAAGGCTGGGGTCAAGTAAACACTTACCCTGTACTATTTACAAGCAGCATGACACGCTTTTGATAAGATCGGCACTGGTCAACTAGGTCAACGATCACTTCTTGCTTCACGCCCTATCATCGTATTCAGTCATTAGAACCCAATGGAATTGATGTTTTTGATTTCTCTCATGTTTTAATGAGACATGTGGACATGAAAACTTTTGATATTAGGGACAAAAGCCTATACAAACTTAATACCTATTTAACTATTTTTCCAACAAGTTATGTGAGATCCCACATCGGTTGAAGTGGAGAACGAAACATTTCTTATAAGGGTGTGGAAACCTCTCCCGAGAAGATGCGTTTTTAAAAATTTTGAAGGGAAGCCCAAAAGGAAAAGCCTAAAGAGGACAATATCTACTAGTGTGGGCTTAGGCTGTTCCAAGTTCAGTGCCTATTCTATTTCAAGCAGTTTAACGCCACAAGAGTGAAGTAGATAAGTTTCTAGAAGTATACAACTTCCTGCATCTTCGAATAAATTTCGTACTATGTCAATCGGCTTAATTCAAACAACTTTCATGCTACAAAATTCAATCGATGGAAGATGTAGAAAAAAGCTACCTCTGGTTTTTTAGGGTCCAAGGCACCAAGCATTTCCAGTAGAACATCTGCAAGTCCATGTGCATTTTGTATCTCTGGCAAGCTGTTATAAAATAGAATTTGTTATTTGGAAGTAAGTCATTGCCCATCAAATAGGACCTCATGACATCTAATCAATTGGGAAAAGTTAATAACATTGAGAGTAAACTAGTTTCTGAGAGAAATGTACACGGGGCTATGGAAGGACACTAACAGAATAATAGATACGCAGATGACTTAGGGGTGGATTGGCAATTGAATGTCACAAACAAACACAGAAGACTATAAGAAAAAAGTACCTCAGGCCAGAAACATCAGATTCAAGGGAAGAAGCATGAATCGCAGCATCCTCATAAGTTGCAGCAGGCTGATTATGGATGGGCTGGGTCTGAGGTGGAGTAAAAAAAGGAACGCTATTCCCTTCTCGTGGTGGAAATTCAACTCCAGCGTTCTGTGAAAGACCAAGTACTACTAAGAACGAAAGAACTCGAATACCAAAGCAATGATGGGGACATGGCAGAAATGGGAAAAGAAATCAAATCAAAGTCCCATCAACACACAATACACAAAGGAAAAAGACCAATTTTTAAAATATGTGGAAAAATTAAAGGAACGTGAGGGATAATCTTTTACCACTTTCTCTTCCACGTGGGAGGGGGTGGAGAGATAGGGAAGGGGCTTTCTTTGAGAACAGACATAAATGAAAGGAAAAATGGGAATCCCTCTGTTTACTTTGCTTAGTTTCTCTCAAAATGAAGGAATTTCAAGATAGAAGCCCTGCAGCACCATAATACCTTATGCATGCAACAAACTGACATTTAAAACAATCTGGAAGAGCATACAATCTAATAGTTTCAATGTGTAGCTTCATAAAAACAAATGAATTGAAATAATTCAAAAGATAAACCAATGAAAACGACATGATTTGATTCAAAGACAAAGAAGAAGAAAAAAACAAAACATCATAATATCTCCAAATTGGGAGCTCTAAAAGAACTTTCAAAGGAAAAGGTGGTCACTATACATAGTGTCAGGCTTGAGAAAGAATGAATAAAGGGAAAAAATTAATCACCTTCAATTCATTGTAAGCAGCATAGCATTGGGGGTACCTTCCCCTCGGTCCCCCAAATGCTTCTTGCCAAGTATCTATCAGATTTAGTATTTTCTCCCTCACAGTCAAGGCTGGCTGAAAAATTGAAACATATTGAAAGAAAGCATTATCATGCTTGTCTAAGGTTGCAAACAAGAAAAAAGCAGAGCAAGCAATGAACTAAAAAAAAACGAAAGTACAGAATCAAGTCCTTCATTTAATAGCCATATATCATAGGTTAATAAGAAAGTCACCTTCTTCTTCACTATTATAACCATGTCAAGCAGGATGTCACGCTCAATAATCTGCTGAAACACGTTCTCACCACAATTTTTGCTAATAGTCTCCAATGCCTAGATGATTTATATTTGAAAGAAGACATAGTGAGCTTTTCATATTGGATAAGTTTTGATTTGACAAGGGAAAGAGAAATTTACAAAAAGAGCCAAAATCTGGATCTTGGAGTTTTTGTTTGCTAGCCGATTCTTGAGTATCTTCAATGCCTCCTTTGCTTGCCTGACATTGCCAATTTGAAATGATGATCAAAGTTCAAGACCAATGTAATTGATAGAAAGGGTATATTGATTTTAATACGAAAGAGACGTGAAAGAGAAATTTTGAAGAGTGATACGAGGTTCAAACCATTAACAATAAAACATTAAAAAAAAAAAAAATCAGTATATCTAAAACCGGAAATAATCTCTAGTGCAGACCGTAGCATTAAGCAAAGGATAATTGTAATGACGTTAGCCAATGATTAAATTTCTTTCTTAACATAGATTAAAGAAGTACCAAGCAACTTGTTGTGACTGATTTATTTTTTGATGAAGAAAACAACTTTCATGGAGACAAAATACAAGAATACACAAGGGTGATACAAAAAAAGGAAGACCCAGAATAGAAGAAGCAAAAAAGGAAAAAAGATAACAAACTACACAACAAAAGAATGAGCAATCCTTGGTAATAGAGACCTAAACGAAGGCGTTAAACCTTAAGCAACATGGACCTCCACCATCGCAAGGTTTCTCTTTTTTTATGTGTTTTTCAAGACCGACTTGTGCACACCTTGACTATTCTCATGAGATAACTACCTCGATATTCTAGAGGTTTATCTCAGAGACAACAATGATAGGAGTTGAAAATAATAAATGTAAAACTAAGAATTTATGTACCTAAAAAATCAAATGACTCTCATGCAATGTAGACTGTACCATTAAGAACAGGAAAATTCTAGTAGCGAGTTAACAAAGCTACACTTCCTCCACATTTGTTACAAAATGATATTAGATGATACCGCTCCAAACTTGTTCTTCCATATATTAGAATCAACAAAGTTATACTTCCTCACAGTCTAAATTTAATACGATTAACCTGAAAAGGGAAAATATGAACAAAAAAATTACCCAGGATCCATGTTAATAATATCACATAGCTCGATGTTTATGGCCCAGTCTGGACCAATCAGCATATCACTGGTTGCCCTCTCCGCGCAGGCTGCTGCATTACTGCCCATTCTTATAATACCTCAGCGGAGTCCTCTTCTCACGCGAACTTCCTGAATATACATACAACTCATCATAATCCCATTCCTCCAATTAAGTAAAACGTAAACAGAACGAAGACAGACGAGAATTGGAAGATTGACCAATGCACTGCAGATTTCCAGTGGTTGTTTTCATTTTATACTCATTTAATAGTTAAGTCGATCCTCGACACAGTTGACTTTCAAATTTATAAGCTGGGAGAAATCTCGCATTCGAACAAACAACAAACTATATTTTTCTTTCTCCACAAACACCATGGAAACACATTCTAGATAAACCCTAATGAAATCCAGCAAATATTAAAACCACGAAATCCTCTTTCAATCCCAAGGACATAAAATTTTGGCGATCAAATTGGCAACAATAAATCCGAACATCAATAAAGCACTTTAAGCAACAGAGGATTCAATAATCAGCTCAAAATTTTGAAAATCAAAATAGAATTCAAACCCGCGAGACTCCAAGCCAGAGCAAAAATCGTCTATCCGCTCAATCAAAAGGAGATTGAGAAATTTCTTGCGCCTCAACTAGATCCAGTAGTACAAATTCGCAGCCTAAAATCGGGGTAACATAATGATTGAGGAAAAGGTATCAGAGAAAATAAAATTTGAAAAGAGAAGCGATTGAAGAGTAAGCTTACGGGTCAAAATCGGAGAAGAAATTGAGAAGCAGCTGATGGATACTGATGGGTTTATATATGAGAAGAAAAATGGAAGCAGAGAGGTGAACTTGGTGCGGGGGAAATGGAATTTTCGGGGTCACTTACTTTTCTACTTTCTATATATATATATATTATTATTATTATTTTTTTTTTGGCTCAATCCTCAGAACTCTATGGTTAAACATGTTTTACTTTGAAAAATTCTATGTTAGGTATGTTGAAATGACTCGTGTTGGTATGTGTGGATAGTGTTCACTCTTACGAATCGAGGAGTATGTAACGTGTCGTTGGAGATGTAAGAAAATGTCAGGACACATAGGTGCTGTATCGATCTGCAATCTCAATATGAATTTCATTTTAAAATTGTAAATCATAGGAACTCCATGGTTAAACATATTTTACTAGGAGCAATTCTATATTGGTGATCTGTTAGAGATTTTCTTGAGACCATGTAAGTAAGGACAAAATATGTTGGAAAGACTCGAGATGGTATGTAGGGATAACGTGACTATGTAAGAAAATGTCGAGGCACATAGGTATCGAATCAATTTGCACTCTCATTTTTGCATGTAGAATTTCAGTGACCCGCAATATTTTGAGCGCAAATTTTTGCATCATCATATTTTTTAGCGACATTTTTAAAACTTTATTTATATTTTTTACGTGACAGCAAGGTAGAACAGCTCGAGAGCTCACAAGACTCGTAACTTTGAAGTTACGGGTTAAAATTTTGTTTTCGTGTGGGGATAATTTCTTGTAATGTTAAAAAGTACTGACGATTTAAACCATCCTCAAAGTTTGACAACTTTCTAGCTCCATTAAGTCGTAACTTTATTCGAACTCGACCCTACAACGACCACTTTTAGGAAACATAATAGAACACAAAGTTCCCATTTAGCTTGATCAATAAGTTGCAGTTGAGTACTTTGGGGATGAGGCGATGGCTACAGCATTGCCCAATGGCCATGCCGCCTCTGCAAGAGAACCATGATATGCTACCTGCTTCACCAATGTGATACTCTTCCGAGAATCAATGCCTATCACAGAGATAACACCAAATGATTATTATTTTCGTACTTATAAGCTTACGTTTTAAAAATAAAAACTATGGTACATTGAATGACTATCCAACTTATAAGCTTAATCGAACTCAATATAACAACCCGAGCCCACTACTAGTAAATATTATCTTTTTTTAGACTTTCTCTCAAAGTTTTTAAAATGTGTCTATTAAGGAGAAATTTTCATACCCTTATAAAAAATGTTTGGTTCTACTCTCTGATTGATGTGAGATCTCATAATCCACCCCTTTCAGGGCTTAGTGTCCTTGTTGTCAGTCATTTCATTTTCCAATAGATGTGGGACTCCCTCGACAAGAGTGAGATCCCATATCGATGGAGGAAGAGAACAAAACATTATTTATAAGGGTGTGAAACTTCTCAGTAGCAGACGTGTTTTAAAAACTTTAGGAGAAGCTCGGAAGAGAAAGCTCAAGGAGGACAATATTTGCTAGCGGTAGGCTTGGGTTGTTACAAATGATATCAGAGCTAGACATCGAGCGATATGCTAGTGAAGAGACTGAGCTCCGAAGGGGAGTGGACATGAGACGGTGTGTCAGCAAAGACGCAGGGCCTCAAAGGAGAGTGGATTGGGTGGTCCCATATTGATTGGAGAAGGAAACAAGTGTCAGCCTCGTGTCCACCATCGAGTCCTGAAGGGGATGGACACGGGGCAGTGTACCAACAAGAACGCTGGGTCCCAAGGGGGTGGAGATTGGGGGGTCCCATATCGATTAGAGAAGGGAATGAGTGCGAAGAGAAATGGATTGTGAGATTCCACGTTAGTTGGAGAGGAGAACAAAATATTTTTTATAAGGATGTGGAAACCTCTCCCTAGCATACAGGTTTTAAAAACCACTCGAAAGGAAAAGACTAGAGAAGACCATAACGTTTTATTATGATACCAGATGAATCACAACTTGAACCAAAAAAATTTCAGTTTAAAGTTTCGAGTTCAATGTTGATGCATTATTATCACTCAAAACCTACGTATAAGATATATTTGAGAAGGAACGTACCGAAGCCATCAACAAGAAGCGTGTACTCGTACACGAGATCCATGCACACAAATTGCAAGTCGCTCGAGTAAACATTAGGGTATTTGGCCTTTGCATCAACAAACTTGGTTTGACAAGCAATCCTCGCAGCTCTCTTGAAATCAATGGGCTTCACCATGGCGTCTGGCTTGTCGGAATCTATAAAACCCGCCTGTCCAAATTGGATATGTCATTATTTGAAGTTTCATTTAATCACATTTTTGTTCATTGCTATTACCTGAGCTGCTTTGTCAAAGAAAAAGGAAGCAACATAGAGGTTCTTCACGCCGGCTCCTCCGCCGCCACTCCATACACCATCAAAGCTGCAATCGTTATACCCACATGATTTGTTGATATTCAGTGCCTCCAGAATTACACTCCGGCAACGGGCAAAGCTCGACCCCGATCGAGGTGACGATGCTTTGTACTCCTTTCCACCGTATGCGTATGTACCTGAAATTTGAATTTAGTTTTTAATCCGTCTCTAAATTTTCTAAATTTATTTTTTAATCGTTGAGGTTTGAATTCGTGTTAGGATCGCACAACAACACATACACTGATCTAGATGAACACAAAGAACAGAAGAGAGAAAATGCAAACACAAAAAACGGGAGAGAGAAAATGTAAGTAAAATATTAGCTAAAATGCAAGGAGATTCCAAGTATGTATAGTAGGAGAAAATACAGAAAGTTGAGTATGCACGGTAAGGGAGAAGACAGAAACTACATTTTCAAAGCTTTGAGTATATGTATATACATCTATATATATATATATACTTCAGCTTACTATATATAATTTTACTCGGTTAAACTCAAACTTGGATTATAAATTTATTTAAATTGAATTTAGTTTAAATAAATAAAAACTTTATGTATTGGATTGATTCATCAGGGCTCTTAAAACTAGATTAGGTTGAAATATTTATTGTTAAGGATAAAAAATACATTTTTACTTACAATATAATTATAAATACATATTTTTATTTACTTTTATAATTATTTTTTTTATTATTTATCTCCACCACAATTAAAAATAAAAGGTAATTATTTGGAATATAAATTTTCAAAATATATATTTAATTTAAGTCTAAACTTTAATAAAATATTTAAAAAATATAATTTACAAATTAACATTTTGTTTTTATTAATAACAAAAATTGAAATAAACTATTCCAACAACCCGAACCAACCAACTCAAAAAATTATGATTGAATTGGATTGAATTCATTATTTAATACGAGTTGTTTGAGAAGAAAAAATTTACAACTTGAACAAGGATCTAAAAAATGTCTTAACTCGACTCCTAATCATAATCAAAACATTACATAAACTCTATCGTCTTTATTTAGATCTATTTAATCATAATACTTTTGAATATCCAATTTTAATTATTGTATTTTCATAAATCTTAAATTAATATTCTAAAAAAAATTTGTTCGGGTATTTGAAGTCACTTCTAACGATAAACCCTAAACCATAAACCCTTATTAAAAAAAAAAAGAAAAAGATATATATATATATATATATATATATATATATATTATGAATACCTTGATAGCCAGCTAAAATGCAGGGGTTGCCAAGCTCTTCGGTCACCTTCAAGATCTCAACTCGGGCAGCTTGTAAACCGTAACGCAAATAACTGCAAAAACAAAAATTTCACTCCAATTTTAATAAAACTATTTTACCAATTATCAATAACTTTCCCTAAATTGTTTAAAATTAAAAGATTTCTAATAAATTCATTTTTTTTTTAATTTTGTTGTATATACTCGACTCTATAATAGTATAAATGTGAGATTCTTCATCGATGGGAGGAAGGAACAAAATTTAAAGGTGTGGAAACCTATCCGTAGGAGACGCATTTTAAAATCATGAGGCTGATGACGATACGTAACGGACCAAAACAAACAATATATGCTAGTGGTGTACTTGGTTTGTGACAAATGGTGTTAGACACAGACATTGGGAGGTGTGCTAGTGAGGACGTTGGGCCCCCTAAGTGTGGTAGATTGTGAGATCCCACGTTGGTCGGAGAGGAAAACGAAGGTTAAGGGTGTGCAAATTTCTCCCTAATAGACACGTTTTAAAACTATGAGGCTAACGACGATACATCACGAGCTAGAGCGGACAATATCTACTAGTGGTGGACTTAAGTCCATTTGAGCATGAATTCTAAAGGGATAGTATCTCGTTCTTATATACCCACGATACTCCCCTTAATTAACTCATATCGAAATCCAACCAATTTTTTTAACCAAGCCAAAGAGATCTTGAACCTGTGAACGTAGAGGTAATAATTAGCGCCCTTGAGGTAAAATTTCTGAACAAATTTGGAGTAGCCATCAGAAGAAATGGGCGCCTTGGCTGCATCTTCATCAGAGATTGCATACGCCATTTGAACAGAGCCACCTCCAAGGTCAATTACTCCCACCGTATTAGAGTATCTCTTCCCCAAATTCTCCAGCAAATAGTTTACTGTCAACTGAAAAAAAAAAAAAAAACGTTTGAGCTATTACAAATGGTATTAGAGTACATAATGAACCAAAATGGCGCTAGTGGTAGGTTTGAGTTGTTACAAATGGTATCAGAGTCAGACACCTAGTGGTTTGCCAGTGATGACGCTGAACTCCCCCGAGGGAGGTGGATTGTGAGATCCCATATTGGTTAGACAGGAAAACGAAGCAAAACCTCTCCGTAGTAGATGTGTTTTAAAACTGTGAGACTGACGACAATATGTAATAGGCTAAAGCGAACAATATCTACTAGCGATGAACTAGAATTATTACATCTACCGTCTGATAAATCTTCTAAACTTTCATGTCGTTCTCATCTAATAGCCTCTTCAAGTTCTTATCTAGTGTGTGATTTTATAATTCAAAATTTCAAACAATATTATCTTCAAACGTAAAATTCGTCACAATTACTAAGTTAAAAGTTAATTCGAAAAAATTTATCAAATAATTAATAAAGATAATAAGATTCTATAGTTCATGAATATATTATCTTTGGATAATAATCACCTAAATTTGTTGCAGACGTGTAAACCTCTCTCTAACTGATACATTTTAACCTCTCCCTAACCTAATGGGCCAAACAGACAATATTAGTTAGGTGTGAACTATTACAAATGGTATCAAAGTCAAATACTTAGCAGGGAAAGCTAAGCTCCTAAAAAGGTGGAGGATAAGATCTCATATCAGCCGAACAAAGCATTCTCTCTCAGAGGCAGGATTGTGAGATCCTACGTAGATTGAAGAGGAGAACGAAACATTACACCTGATAGGGTAAGATCTCATGTCAGCTCGAAAGGAGAACAAAGCATTCTCTCTTAGAGGCAGATTGTGAGATCCTATGTAGATTGAAGAGGAGAACGAAACATTACACCGAATCCCATTGGGTGAATTGTGAGATACCGAGAAAAGAACAAATATATATTTTTTTTTATAAATTTTATTTATTTTGAATAATATATTTTTGGATGGACTAATTTGTTACCAATTTTAAAATAATATTACAAAAATTTAAAGTTTTCATGCTTTTTAAATTTTCTTCTAGATGAAAAAAGCGTGAGGCGGCAACGGAAAGCCATTAATTAAGCAACAGCGCACAACAAAATCAAATGATAATGACTGCAAAACAAGGACGAACACATACCCATTGATAAGAACCTTCTTGATTTCCGTCCAAAATCGAAACCGAATCCGCTCCGTACATGAATCCGCTCTTCGTTTTCAGAAGATTCCTGACCTGTAGCAACATCAAAATCAACTCACAGAAATGATCTCGGATCGTTTTTCATTAGCAATCAAATCGTCGATTACCGCTTCCAAAATCCTCTCAGATCTGTCGCCTTCCAAGAACCGAAGCCCTGCCGTCGCCTAAAATCAAAGATCGAAAATCAAGAACAGCTATTAGCGGAACATTTTCGAGATTTTTTTAGGAGAGGAACTGAAGAACAGATGATTTACGAACTCCGAGGCGAATCGGCGTCACGGATTGAAGTTTCTCAGGAACTGCGATTTCTGCTTTCTCCAGTAAAGGAATTAGAGAATCCGCGGCTTTCTGAGGATCATCAGCGTACGAACTCAGCCCTGGCTTTATCTGAAGAGAAATGGAAATCGATTAAACTAAGTAGTTATAGATTAGATTTGAGAGAGCTCTGAAGTTCAAGTACCTGTGAGAAAACCTCAATGTCTGAACCGATGAAGAGAAGATCCAGGTTCCGGTCGAAGTGGAAGACATGGACGCGGCTGCCGGAGCTTCCGGCGTCGAAGATGACGGCGTAGGTAGAGTTGGAAGAAGTTCCAACGGCGGACATCTTGCGGTGGTTAAAGAAGGAGGAGGTTTCGCCGGCGGAGGAAACAGGGAGGAGGAAGACGACGACGACGACGATGGAGAGTGAGAGAAGCAGCAGCGTGGAGATGGAAAACTCATTCCGCCGTGCGTCTCCGGTGGTGGCCATGTTCGTCGTTGTTCGAGCTCAGTCGCCGGAGAAGAAGATAAGGCTGCGAGATTGTTAGTATTTCTCGTCTATATATAAATTTACAGCTGAATTCAATTGCATTATTATATTTAAGAAATAAAAAACACGTTTTACTGTATAAATAATTTAAAATATTTTCTTGAAAAAAAATGTAAAATATAGTATAAATAAATAAATAAAAAAAAAGGGTAATTTAATTAAATACAATATTTTATTTCTTGGAGAATTCACCACTAGTAGCTATTTAGGGTCATTATTAATTCTCTTTTGACTGCCAAGTTGTTTAATTTAATATCATATTTATTGTAATAATTTTGTTTTATTATGTTTGGAAAGTAAATGTAACATTTAATTTTTGTGCTTTTGGATATGATTTAGGCTAACCTTTCTTTTTAATACTAATTTTTTCGGATGATGATTCAAAATCTGAATTCGATGTTCGATAATCTCGACGTTCTCCCACGACACGACATGGTCACGTTATTTACTCTTTGCTTCTAAAAGTGAAAGTTATTTCTAGAAAACCAACACAAATCATTTCAACATACTTTGTTTTCACTCACATGCATTATATGAAAATTTATACCAGATCACTCAGTATGTATAAAGTTGCTCTAATTAAAGCATGCTTAACTTTGAAGTTCTTATGATTGAGCCACCTAATGGAAGATGTACCCAAATGTACATGAGTAGTACACGGCTTGAGTATTTTAAGAAATACTTAGTAAGTAACCCCACTATTAAGGTTTTAAAATGCAAACACATGCAACATGATGAGACCTATTCTTTTAAAACATTGTAGCATGACTTTAAGCAGCTTTCCACTCCAGACAAGGTTAGATGTGTAGCATGACTATACATGGCCCACATGCGAGCATGAACCCTCTAGGTGAGCTTGCACACCCTCTGGACTTGGCTCGTCGATGAGTTGTACCAAACACCAGAGAGGAAAAGAGCCCGCATAATATCATGACGAACATAAATGTCGTAAATCGTAAGTTGTAATATACGTGTTCATATTCATCATATTGAGAAAGTATCTCGATGCACATGACTCACAATTATGCATGAGATCCTCGTAGCTTATGATCATGACATAATTTATGATGCAAGACAAATCTCCCCTCGTAACATAACAAATCTATGAATTATGCATACATAATTTCAGTACACTTTTTTATACCTAGCATAGCTTTCATGACATGGTCTATAAATGTTTATGCATTATAGCATATCATGACATTACACAGCATATCATGATATAACATATCATGACATGACATAACATATCATTCATACATATGACATGTGCTGGATCCACGTGATACATACCATCATACATAATACAATTCATCCAATCAAGCCAACAGTAGAACCATTTACTTGACTAGCCTAAACCGACGTTACTAAAGCCCATTAGTGCGAGCCTAATAATACTTTTTGAATCTTGCTTTCACGTCATAATAACGCTTTGTATCGTGCTTGGTCACTTTGTACGTGGTGTTTTTTTCGATAAAAGAATGGTAATTCAAGTAAGCAAAAAAAGACTCTAATTTGGCTTTGTGGGGACATTTGAAGGGATCTTGGCCATTTATTTTCCTATAACTTTTCTTTGCTTGCTTTTGAAGATGGGCTATGTTTGAAAGTGATAAGAGCTCTACCTAAAAACACTATGTTTCAATTAAGAACACCTCAAATTAAAGCTCTTAGATACCAATAATATATAGAATGAATACTCGTAAGTGTTGAATCAATCTAAATGGAACGACCCAGATCCACGGTTAGTAGATATTGTCATTTTTAGCCTTTCTTTTCTCTTTTGGGCTTCTACTCAAGGCTTTAAAACGCGTATGCTAGGGGAAGGTTTCCACACCCTTGTAAAAGATATTTTTGTTCTCCTCCCCAACCAATGTAGGATATCACACTTTAAGATGCCAAGCTCGTTGTGCCAACGTTTTTCATGAACATAGAGAATCAACCGGTTACAATGCACCTTAATAGACGAAAAATATAATTTTTTTAAAAATAAATAAAGAAAAGTTTTTAAATTAAAAAATTTAAAAAAAAAATGTGCAAAATAAAATGGAGATAAATGAGAGAGAAGAGATGAGATAAGGTGGGGCCCACATTAAAAGAAGGAAAGGAAGTGGTGGGCCTCGATCCTCGCGTTTCACCTTGTGTCAAACAAGAGGTGAGATTATCAAAGTCTATTCCTCCCCTGCAGTTAGCCAAACGACCCTCATGATTGTTTAGACAATAAGATGCGTGCAAAATAAAATATTTAAAAATTCTATAATTTTTTTTTTATATAAATAAATAATATTTGTAATTTTATATAAATAAATAATTACCATTCATACTTTTATTACATGAGTTAATTTTAAATAATTAATTATTATTCATTAGTTTATTTTTATTAAATTAAATTAATTAAATAATTTAAACGAGGCTGGAATATTTTCCAGATAAAGGTAAGACGCCCATGTAAGGTTGACATAGGCATCGCAATCTCGAGACCGTGGTACATGCTTAGAATAGGTTCACATTTTAAATTTAATAGTATAAATTAGTATAGTTGAGTCATATTTATATTTAATAGGTTATAGGTTAATATAGACCATTTAATTCAGTAATGTTTTTCCTCATTTCTTTGTATTTGTTTATTCGAGATAATAAATAAAGTATGAATTAATGTGGCTATGATAAGAGTTTATTAAAATAATTTTGCATTAAATATCATTTATTTCCGAGGTAATAAATAAGGTATGAATTAATGTTGCATTTATGATAAGAGTTTATTAAAGTAATTCGGCATTAAATGTCAAGTTAAATGTATAATATCAACCTAAGTTAAATAAGTAAATTTAGGATCGTTACATTTCTTTAGTAAATATGAGGTAGGACGCTAACTCTTTGATGTTACATTAGTACTTTAGCTAGTCATCTCTCCATAACATTATTAGACGTTACTAACTTTCATATGTCATCCCGTACATCCTTATACTAAGGCTAAGGCCAACCAATTCTTTAACTCTAGAAAGCTTTTCTCCCATTCTCGTTGTAAGTGCAAGTTGTGTTCGTGTGAATCAACTGAGTTAAATTCAAAACATTCGAATAAAACCTTATACATCATCCAAGTAAGAGAGCTTACAACTGTATGTCTCTGAACAAGTCTAGACCAACTATAGACCGTTCCTCCTTTAAATTGGTCTACTATACCATCTTCTTTAATATTCGCTCTTAAGAAAATAGCTTTGTCTAACCAAGACTTAACTCATAAGGTGCACGACCATCAACACATGTCTAGAACCCTCTTTGAATATTCGATTCATAGCAATTACATAAACTTTAAGGCATTACTAATGTCGTCGCACGACCATCAAACATGTCAAGAACCCTCTTTGAATGCTCGATTCATAGCAATTACATAAACTTTAAGGCATTACTGAGTCCACGACATCGCTCTAATTCACACATCCTTCTCATACTCGGAGAAAACCTTTAATCCTTACCCCTCTTGGTTCATATATTCGAGGGAACCTTTGTTTCTACAAGAATTCATGTTTTTCCATTACTATCTCGATAAGTTCTTCATGTTTAAAATATCGTCGTGTGTGCCAACCTTTTCCTCTTAACAATCAGAGTTAATCCACTTTCTGAAAAATGCTGAAGCGTGTGAAGTCCTTGCTAAGTAGCTCATGTGTGTATAGACATGTCCTACTTTGTCCTTCAAGACACATGCCACACCTTGCTCAAATGTTCAACCATCGACCATTTTTCCCATACAACCTCCAAGCTTCCTTTGAACATTTCCCTCGTACCGTTATAGTGCATAACCATTCCCAATACGAGAGTTATTTCTTCCAATTTCTTTGTAACACGAAGAAAGGAACTTAACAAAACTCTCCTTTAGAAGTGATATTGCATATGCATATTCTTACGTGTAGTAAAACTTAAGATAGCTAATAATCAGTTTCAAATACGCATTTTTAAAAAGGATGTTTAGGGGTAGTTTCGTCATTTTTCTCTAGGTTGATACCTCCAACATGTTATGATTCGTTAGTGGGGTCTAACAAAATTACCCTTAAGGTCATAAATGAGTCTTATATAAAGTTTCTTATCACTTAGGAGTCCTTTCGAATCTTCATACATCGCAAAATTCTTATAAGGGTATTTTAGTCATTTACCACTCAAAAGCTTCGTTTAAGTCCTTAACTTATTCCAATGGCATTGTAACTTTACATAATTCCTTTAAACCATGAAATGAGACTTCTTATAAAATTTCATGTTGTTTAGAGATCACTTGGGTTACAAACCAATGGGGTAATTATAGGGGCATTTTGGTCATTTTACACCTATTCTTCGTTTAGCCTCTTAACATAATCCAATAACCACAATATTTTATGCATAATTTTATCATGTAATATTAAACTTTATATTAAAATTTCATGAGCAACCGAACCCATTTAGTGGGTTATTTTAAAGTCCCTTAAATCCGAAGGAAATTATCTGGTTTAGATTCTTAACTTTTGGTTCTTGACTTAATTCTCCCAGGTGATTTCTACGGGTAAAACTTCTAGTTCTTCTTTCCAACCAATCTCACAATCCACCCACTTCAAGGCTCAGTGCCCTCGCTAGCACATTGCTTGGTGTCTGGCTCTGATATCATTTGTTACAGTCTAAGCCCACCGCTAACAAATATTGTTTTCTTTTAGTTATCCCTTCTAGATTTTCTCTCAAAGTTCTTAAAACGCGTCATTTAAATATATACCCATAGGTAAGCTTTATTCATATAAGTAGAGATAGTCATATCATTGTAAAATAGATCATTAAGAGGTCATCTTCATCTTCCCCTCATTAAACTATAGGGTGAGGCTTAAAAGACAGGAGTTTCCATGAGTGCTCCCATGGTATATCCAACACCACAGCCTCGAAATACGAAAACATTTTCTCGCTATTACTTACTCCCTTTATCACCAGCCGATAGGCTTTTCCAGCCACAACTTGAGTCGCACCGCTTACCACCTTCGTGAAAGT